GGAGGGGAAGGGGGTAAACTAAATTATGACGAGGATTAAGAGTCGAGAACTGTACAACGAATCGTCTTGTTTCTATAATGATTTAATGAAACGTAAAAGCTTCCGCGCTTCGCGCGAGAGGGGGGGGGGGAGAATCTAAATTCAGACGAGGATTATTTTCTAAAACGGTACAACGAATCGTCTTTTTTTTATGATGATTTAAGGAAACTTAAAAGCTTCCACGCTTCGCGCAGGAGGGGAAGGGGGTAAACTAAATTATGACGAGGATTAAGAGTCGAGAACTGTACAACGAATCGTCTTGTTTCTATAATGATTTAATGAAACGTAAAAGCTTCCGCGCTTCGCGCGGGAGGGGGGGGGAGAATCTAAATTCAGACGAGGATTATTTTCTAAAACGGTACAACGAATCGTCTTTTTTCTCTAATGATTTAAGAAAACTTAAAAGCTTCCGCGCTTCGCGCGGTAGGGGGGGGGGGAACCTGAATTCAGACGAGAATTTAGAGTCGAGAACTCTACAACGAATCGTCTTCTTTCTCTAGTAATTTAATAAATCCTAAAAAATGTCGCGCTTCGCGCGAGAGAGGAAAAACTAAATTCAAACGAGATTTATTTTTGAGAACGGTACAACGAACCGTCTCCTTTTTCTAATAATTAAATGAAACGTCAAAGCTTCCGCGTTTCGCGGAGGAGGGAGGGGGAAATTCGCCCCTCCCTGCACCTACCCCCCCCCCCCGCATCATGTCACTGTTGGTCACCATTACGTACCAATATTTGGCTCGCAAAATTTCAAATTTGGGCCCCCCCCCCCTAAGAAATCCTGGATCCGCGCCTGGGGGGGGGGGGGACAAAGAGTGAGAGTAACAAGACAGAGAGCTAGAGAACAGTTGGAAGCCATGAAGAGGGTCTCCCCGCTCCGCAGCACAGCACTGACAGAGAGGAGAAAATAGGGATATTGAGAGAGTGAAAGTAGTAGAGAACAATGAATGTGTTCGTCGAAGGTAAAACTGGTAATTATTCAGTACTATGAGCGTTTAACAATCTGACTAGATATGGCAACGGACTGTTTCTATACCGTGTCGTTTTGCATGACATTTCAGTGAGCTTGCTTTTATTTCTCAGATTTCGAGAATGGGAGTCCCCACGTGTTTGGGGCAGCCAATGACTAAACTTTGACCCAGGCTCGAGCAGCTTCTTTGCAAATTTGAGGCACAGACATTCTCTGCGGTCACTTAAAGAGGACACCTTACACAGTTGAAGAGCGTTTTGATACGAGACAAAATGTGGCCCTAACATGAGGCGGCACGCTCGCTTTTGAATTCTCTCTATTTGTTCATTTTGTTTGGCAGACAAGCCGGAGTTCCAAACGGGCGCACAATATTCCAACACTGGCCTTATGTATGAACAGTAAATGAGCACTAGATCATCTAAGGGCAATCGAAATTTAGTGAGAACTCTCAGCATATGCAGCCTCATGTTTGCCTTCTTAACAATTGCATTGACATGAGAAGTCCATTTTAGATCTTTTTGGATGAAAACCCCTAGTAATTTGACACAATCTACTTGACTAATGTCATGTCCATCAATTTGGATGACAGGCGGTGGGGGTGGTTCACGCATGAAAGTTACTGTCATCTCAGAACACTTTTTGTGGTTCAGTTTCATGTTGTTGTCTACAGTCCATTCTTGTAGACTGGATATTCGATGGCGATGGGGATTTCCTGCATTCTAGCATTGTTAGGTCGTCCACATATTTCCAGTAAGACGACGGTGACCTCCGGCATGCCTCGTTGATGATAGCCAGGAAGATAATGGGACCGAGTCTAGTCCCTTGTGGAGCCCCTGCAGAAACTTCCAGCCAATCAGAGAGCGTCGTTCGATATTTCACGCTCTGCTGTCGTTTGGTGAGAAAGTTCGCTATCCATGCTACAGCACTCGGACGGACGTTCATCTGGAGCAGTTTGAGGACAGCTATATTGTGGTCTATCCTGTCGAACGCTTTACTGAAGTCCGTTGTCACCATTGTTGTAATGATTTTGGGCTTGTCAGCGTTGCTGTGAATCATTTGTAGGAGATTAATCAAGTAGTGAGAGGTAGATATAGCCCTCATGTTCCCGAATTGTGCTGGGTCTATGGTGTTCTCCATGTCGCTGAAAGTCCACTTAGCAATGAACTTTTCGGCTATCTTGGCAAAATGATCAGTCAAAGATACTGGTCTGAGGTTATCGATAGACGCTTGAGATGTCTTGGGAATGGGAACAACATGCGCTCTCTTCCAACACTCTGGTACAATGGACTGACTAAAAGATGCGTTTAGAATATCAGTAAGCGGACAGCAAAGCTCATAAGCGAATTTCTTGATAAGTCTGGCCGAAATGCCGTCTGGTCCAGGAGCTTTCCGTTGTTTAATGGCTTTCAACTCGCTATAAACTTCCCATGGTTGAACAAGGGGAAGTGGTTGGTCAGCCGGTAGATATGACGGCAAACTAGAAGGGTCCAATCTAGGAATGTCGTTTGCAATGTTCACGAAGAAGTTGTTGATCTTATTCGCCGCTGCGTCGAAGTCAGTAGGAGAAGTGCCTTCGATGCGAATAAGTGGAGATCTCGTCTGGCCAGTTGTCATGTACTATTAGGCCTACTAGGAATATAAGCCTATCATTATGTACCATTTCAATAACATTGCATATTTACTTGCACGGTTCCGTTCAAATGTCTATAACCAAAAGTAGTTCTGTGCAGTGACTCTACTCTCGCTCATGGATGTGTAGTGTCACGATAGTTGGGGGCGCCACCACGATACACCTCAATAAACAAGATCACATCACGTTATATATCACAACAGAAAGCGCCCTCAACATCACAGCAGAAGAACTCCACCGAAAGATTGCATGAAATATAATTATGTTGTACCGACGATTATAATATTGATTCCTAATACTCTACATTTTATATAAATTTCCAATAGTGAGTACTATTTTGGTTCACTTTCTTCATTGTACAGCCCACAACCAAGGCTATATAAACACAAGGGCCCGAATTTACAAAGGAGGTTTGTCGACAAACCTATGTTTATGTGCGTCATATGACGCGTTTCGACGCTTTTTTACAGACCAAGGTTTGAAAAAACGCGTCGAAACGCGTCATAATAATGAAGCACATTAGTAGGTTTGTCGACAAACCTCCTTTGTGAATTCGGGCCTAAAAGCTCGGCTTTCAGGGGTGTTGTGGTCGAGTGGATACGTCACCGGACTGTCGATCACAAGGCCCGCGGTTCGAGTCCCGCCGCGGCATTAATGTCATTTGGCAAGACATTGATGTACATTTGCCACACTCAACCCAGGTGAGGTAAATGGGTACCTGGTAGGATTATTCCTTGAAATGCACTGTGCGCTGATAACGGCTGCCGGAGCTAAAGCTAGGGTAATGATTTTCAAAACTTTTTGGAAGCGCATAGAGATGTTATTTCATGACGTTTTATGCGCCATACAAGAACTGAACTATTATTATTATTATTATTACAATACACAACAATGATTTAGCTACGGACCCTATCCGAAAGATAGACGGGGTTCCCAAGACAACCATTTGTTGTACACAATTGTCCCAAGGGCAGATTGTGTATTTATTTCGCTCACGACGGCTATCTTGAAGGTTTTTGAATCGCTAAAACTTGAGGGCGTCCAAGTGTGCTTTGTTTAAGATGAACTTGAGTACTGGTAATGCGATTGCACTGTGAAAGAAAAGGTGTGGAATGAATCAGAAAAGTTGATCATATAGCATGTAAGTAATGGTGTGTAATGCAAGGTTCTAGAGTCATCAAAATCATCATAAATTTGGCACAGTCTTGGTAAAGTAACAATTACTTACACAGATAGATTTATATGGGACAACACACATGGTGTCGGGGCTAGTACTACCCTGATTTCCTTAATATGCTCATTACTCAGCCAGTATACATTTTCTTCCAAAATTGTTTGGCACATGACATTTATTTGTAATCTTGAACATTCAGTGTAAGTTTCGTTAGATTCTGTAAGAATTCATTTTTTTTTTTTTTTTTACCAGAACTCAAGTTTATCTTTAAGATGAACCTTAGCATCTTTTATTTATTAAACAAAATAATAATGTCCTTCGGAAAGACAATTATCTACATTTACCACTCTCCACCCAGGTAAAGTAAAGGTGTATAGGTCTACCCGATATGTAAGTAGCTGAACTACATGTATACATACATGTGATATGAATGAACATTAATCTATTATTATTAAAATAGAGTCGCTTAATTGAGTTGGTCTCTTAAAGATTTAGTTAAAAACTGATCATAGCAGTTACACTGTATAATAAGTTATTCTGTACATGATCTCACTTCTCTGACGCACCTTTTCATAGTCCAAACACCAAACAATGAACAAAACACTCTCTTCTGTGTCAATATCTTTTTAATTATAAACATAACGATACACAATATACTACATCCTGCTCGTAGTTTGAAAGTCAAAGTTTTGATCAGTTTTGCTTTTTTTTTTGTTTTTTTGACAATGCCAATAATATGCGTTTAATCTCAAAATTCAAACAAATCAGAGCCAACAAGATAAAATGGTACGATCAAACATGATAAAATGAAGAAGTTGTTTAAATGCATTTACATGTATTCGGTTCAATAATCAAAGAGAAAAAAGACAAAAGGAGTTTGAGAATTCAAACTTGAAAGACATAATAAAGTTTAATAATATGTATAAATAATATAGATCTGTAAAGCGCATTGAGAGGGCCTGTGGTCCTGAAATGCGCTATATAAGGACGAACTATTATTATTATTATTAATATCATTATTAATTAGCCTTCGAGTGAGAATGAATCTGCGTCGTCGACTTCTAGTTTAAAGCAATGTTCTTGAAATAGGAACTAAATGCACTACTTAGAAGGTGATTAAATGTGTGATAATTGTGAGGATTGAATGTTCTGTTCTTTGATGTAAAGCTTCATTCGTCAATCGACTCTCGTTTGCCGTGTTTAACCCGCCTGTTACCAGAAGCCATAAGTACACTATACATGTACGACTTTTAGATGCAAGTTGCACAGGTCGGGATACTGACTGGAGCGTCATGGTGTATAGGTCAGGTCCGTCCCGATCTTCAAAAATCCCTGTAAAATACCAAAATGAAATCAAAAGATTTTGAAAGGTTTACACAAACTAAAACGTTGATGAGTAAATGATCGTAAGTGAATTCCGCATATTAAAATGAAGATCTATAAGATTGTTTAAAAAAAAAGTTACATTGTGTATCTGTAAAAGTTTTGAATAAAATTCAATGCTCCATATAAGCTTGTAAATAAATTAAGTCAGAGGAATTTGGTTTATGTATTTTATTAATATGTTTTTGATAGTTCACGTGACAAATAACAGGGATACCTCCCTGCAAATAACCAGTGCAATTAATTTATGAGGAATTCATGGGATACGTGGTATTTAAAGTAGTATTTAGGGAATAAAAAAATATATTGTTGTAATAAAAAGAGGTTATTCTGTCATGATTTGAAATAAACCCAGTAGCAGAGAGTTTTGTTTTGTAACCCCCCCCCCCCCCCCCCCCCCATTCTAAAAAAAAAATCGGGGATAAAATGAAAAATTGAAAAAGAAAAAATTAAATTAAATAAAATAATAATGGTAAGGATAATAATGATAATAAAATAGGTATATAAAAACAACAAAGAAAGACGATACGACCTCCTTTCACCCCTCCCCCATTCGCTGACCTAAGTATGGTGACCCCTACCCCCTCATGCTGATATCGATTCCAAATCATAGTGAAATCCACTCGAATGTTGTGGTTTGAATTAATTTATTGAGAGTGGCGTTTTCTATTTTGAGCTTGAATTCCACGCCAAAGTAAAGTTATACCTCATGCAAATATTTATTTTAAACAAAAAGTTACATATTTTAAACATGAATCCTGAAAGAGTGAATTTTCACTCCTGTAAATCGGAATACCACTCGGGCGGCAAACTTCGTGCACTTTTTTTCGGGAGGGGCGTTAAACTTGAGGGGATGGGGGTACGTCAGCTTTAAACTATACTGGATACACCCCTGTCTTGTGGATACACCCCTGACGCTGGATACGCAACTGCCCTATTCATATTTTTCGTGTCCCACGGATGGTTATTTCTTACCTCTCCCAGGGAGACGACAGGCTTGGTGAAGTTAAAACCATCAAGCTGCGGCAGGGGAGCTCCCACAGCACCAAGCTCTAAAGATGAAGATAATGAATGAAATCGAAATGAATATTCATTATAATTGTGTTTTATCCGATAAGAGATGAAAGGTTGAACTCAGTATCATAAACATGTACCAGACGCACCATGAATCGAGCGCAAAGACTTTCGAAAAATCAACTTCAGTAAAAACTTTCAATCGCCTGTGGCATGTCCACCGCCTGTCGATATGTGCCAAAATTTCAATGACATCATCAGAACATTATTTCTGTAGGATATTCAATGGGGTCTATTCAATAAGTCTTTGAGATCGCGTTCCAGTGAGTAGGGCACCAATACTGCACCCATTCCATCGCTCTAGCACCGTCGGCGGGGCACATTCAAAAGTGTAAAAGGGGCACTTTTAAAGTAAAAAAAATGAACGGCTTAAAGTATTACCCCTGTTATCTGAGCACCTAATTGTCTTGCATTCGGCGACAACTTTGGTGCAGAGTATTAAAATCTTGTATACACAACAATTATGAGGTATTACAGTTATAAGTTGCTGATGAGAGGCATTGGAGATAGATCAGAGAGAAAGAGAGGGGATGAGGGGAGGGAAGTGGGGAACATGGAAAACGAAAAATAAAATATGTAGGAGAGAGAGATGGTACAGAAAATTATGAGAAACAGGCGTCTGGTTTATTTACGCAAAATCGTGCGCTATCATCGTATGACATGTTCATTTAATTATGAGAAATTCCTTTGATCACTGTTGATGTTTGGCATCATTCAGCGTAGCATTTTAAAGGTATATCCATTTCTAATAGTATAGGAATTGCACATAAATATTCCATTAACAATTTCTCCGTATTATCTGAGTATTATATCATAAAATGCGCCACAAATGTACTCGTTATTAAATTTCATCTATACAATCACTCGAGAAAAGACCACAGTTATCACAAATGAGGCATGATGGCTCAATGGTAGAGCAGTGGTCTTGTAACCGGGAGGTTCCGGGTTCGAAGCAAAGTCAATGCGCAGGTGCCCTTTGGAAAGGCATCAATCCTCATTACCTAGTCCCTTGGAAAAGGACTAAAAGCCGCTGGTCCCCATGCTTGCTTACTTACAAGCAAACACATGTTTTCTCAGCAGTCAGGTAAACAAACATAACAACCAACCAAACCAGCACAAAAAAATTAAAAGTGCTACTCACTGTTAAGATCGGGGATCAGGTCAACTTTGATTGCTGTGTTGACTGCAAGCTGAAGGGCAGATGTCTGAAAGGCAATATGAATTATTGAAAAGAAAAAAACATTTTAAGAAAATGTTTGTAATTTTAAATATTACTTAGTTAAGTAATATTTAAAATTACAAACATTTTCTTAAAATGTTTTACCTCGAGATAATTGATGTGAACATGCATTATAATTAGGGAATTACAAATTTGATTTTCAACAAACATACTCAAAATCCTACCATTGAACTAAAGTAAAGTTATTGATATACATTGAGCGTGAAGGTGCCTCACCTTCACGCTCAATGTATATCAATAACTTTACTGTAGTTCAATGGTAGGATTTTGAGTATGTTTGTTGAAAATCAAATTTGTAATTCCTTTATTATAAAGCATGTTCACATCAATTATCTCAAAGTAAATGTACACAATAGTTTAAATGAAAAGTATATAACACAAATGAAAAACATGATATGAATGAATATCATGACGAAGTATCATAATATTGTACTTACAAAAAATGGTCCCACTGCTGAGTGGACTGCTTTCATGGTGGTGCTGTAAAAATAAATGTAAATAATGTACATTTCTTAGTTATCATCATTCTGGTTATAAAGCGCCTGCCTTTGGGGAAAATCTATAACCATGATGAATTGGGTTTCTATTACATTACAGTGGCGTATACAGAAATTGATAAATATGGGGTGGAACCCCTTCCGGAAGGAGGGGGGGGGGGTGTAATAATATTTACATCACTTATATGTTATATATTTAAATATATTTACATACATAAGCATACACATTTTTTTTTCTGTAGCTCCCCCTTTTCCTCATTTTGGCGATTATGTGTGGTATCGCGTGCGACCTCTTGGAATTCTTTTCTCTTTAAAACAAAAAAATTATATTCTCTTTGTTGGTCGGTCTCATGGGCTATTTGTCTACTAGGATGACTCTGTTACCTGAATGACGATATGTTCCATGTTATGTTGTTCCCGGTGAAGTTCACAGACACCTTGGCCGATATGGTCTGCAGGAAACATAGGAGAGGTAAAACAGGAATGAAAATGTGCTTCGTTGAAGGTCGCAATTCATAACAATGACATAACACATGATGGAAAAAATATTCTGATTTAAGAAAAATATTACCACACAATGACAAAACTCTATATAGGTAGCAAAGATTGGAATAGTGCACTGCGCCTCTGCCTGCACCCCCCCCCCCCTTCAGCCTCCTGCGACCAATACCCTTCAAGTCTCTGGCCAAACCGCCAATATTATACTCGACTTTGATATTTCTGAATGTAATACATGTATATAAATCTTTACCCAGTCATATGAGGGTTTAATTTTTTACTTTGTAAGGCAACATATTTTCCTTTGTAATGCAGGGTGGTAGAAACCTATCTTTCAGGAGTCACTTCCTTTAGTCTAGCGTTTAATTCACTATACATTACTGTAGATGCCATTCCAAAAGTAGTGGTTGAATTCCTGTTTTGTTAGTATATTCCACTATACTTTTAGCATGGACTTCCAGTGCTTTACATTTTAGAGAATGTGAAACGATTATGTTTAGAAGAAGAAAATCATATCAGACAAAAATTACCACGCTGAGTGTGAACAGGTAGGCCAGGGTCTTGTTGGGTAAGATTGCGTACGGGATGAAGTCCCCGACCAAGACGGCCTGAACCCCGGTAGACGCTACTTTGACAACGGGAGCCTTAGTGCTGTTCACATTGATCTGCATTGCCATGTTCGGGTACATCTTGTTGATCTAAAATCGAAACAAAAACGAAAACAAAACAAAACAACGAACGATGATACGGCAGCGGTGATATATCTTTAAACTTTGGTAGGGTCTGTCAAAGCCTATACATCTTCAACTCAACAACCATTACAGAAGAGATGATGATGGGTTAGTTTTGTTCCCCCTTTCTCTCTTTCTCCCCCTCTCTCCCTCCCCCTCTCTCTCTCTCTCTCTCTCTCTCTCTCCCTCCCTCCCCTCTCTCTTTGTCTCCTCTTCTCTTTATTCTTCTTCTTCTGTACTCTTCTTCTTTTTCTACCTTTTCTTCTACTTCTTCTTTTTTCTACTTTTTCTTCTCCTTCTCCTCCTCCTCCTCCTTCTTCTTCTTCTTCATTATTCTTCTTCTTCTACTTCTTCTTTTGAACTCAACTCTCCGTCGCTAGCCCCCTCATTTGGTATGGCCTCGTTACCTTCCTCTCTTTCTCCCTTCCTCTTCCTTCTCCCTTTCCGATTTTCACCTCCCTGACCCCCTTCCCCTTTCCGCCTCTCTCCCCGACCCCCTCTCACCCAATAAATGATGTCCACATTTTCTTCGACTGTCTATCTAAGGTCATGTCACATCAATGGATCTTGGAATCATTATTTAGCGAGAAAAAAAAAATCGATAAAAATTAAATGCACTATGGAGACGCCCCCAGAATAATCAGATTAAAAAGTCCCCACCCTCCCCTCCCATGGAAACGCCCCTGTGTATAGCTTCATACCTGTGGGATGAGGAGGTCCAAGGCAAAGTTGGATGTGTTCAAGTAATTCTTCTCTTCAGCAGGGACCTGGATGACGATAAGAAAAACAAAGTTTTAAAAAGTGAAATGAAAGCCATCCTACATCTAGGCCTAAATGAAGTAAAGTCCCACAAGTTCCATGGTTTAATTATTGTTGTTGCCCTATTTGTAACAGGGATTCAGGAGATTGGTGCGCAGAAAAGTACTATAGAAGAAGAGGGGTTAAAGGCTGTAACAAAATGTGTATATGAGAAAGAGAGAGTGATTAGGGCGGGGGGGGGGGGGTAGGCGGAGGAAGATGGAGAGATAAAGATATAGAAAGAGGGAGAGAGAGAGAGAGAGAGAGAGAATATAATAATTATAATAATAATAGCCTAATAGTCCACTCCAAATTTTATTAAACCGAAACGGAAATTCTTTTTGCCCAATTGATCGTGAGCCCGGCAGCTACTGAGCAGCGCCAGATCGACGTTGCTCTATCCCTTATTGTTGAACGCCAAACAAGGTAACAGCAACTCCCATCTTTTAACGTCTTTTGGTATGACGCGGCCGGGGTTCGAACCCACGACCTCCTGGTTGTGAGGCGGACGCTCTACTGACTGAGCCAACACTCCGGAAAGAGAGAGTGAGAGAGAGATGAAGGAAGAGGGAGAGCTTTATAGATGGAGAGAAAGGGGAGGGAGGAAGAGAGGCGGCGAAGCAGGGAGGGGGAACGAGTGAGGAGGGAGGGAGGAAAAGAGAAGGGGTAACGGGATGGAAACATGATGACGATGAGGAAAGGGAAATAACCCAAAAATGCGATTCACACGTCATAATGGTATATATGATGACGTCAATAGTCAAGATAAACAAGCCATAGAGTTCACTCACATTTTCAGGGGTCACGTTGTACTGTAGGAAACCGACGTTCTGAAGCGCGTAACCGGCTGAGTTGGGCAGATATTCGGTTATCCAGATGAACACCATTCGAGAAATATCCGAGTCGGGTGGAATCTGTGGAACCGGCAGTGGACATTCGGTCGTGTTTCCTATCGGGTACACCTCACCCTGGAAACATCAACAAAAACAAAAATAATGAGGAACAAGATCAGACCAGGGTGTTTTCATCATTGAATGAATCACTATGTAATATCATAAAAACTCGATGACCGGCTAGCAGAGCGATCAGTTACAGTCTGGCATACAGATAGCGGTTCTCCAACGCTTACGCTATGCAATCCAGCGCATACAGTGCATACGCCAGCAATGCGACGCGATGTTTGGGAGTTGTTGGCAGGGGCGGCGATTTCTGTTAATGACCGAGGGGGACGAAATGCGAATTTTTTTTACGAGGATGTTATGCGAGGGAGCTATGGCCGAGCGAGATTTTTTTTGCAATTTTATTAGTCTAAACGCTGCACTCTTGGGCCTTCCAGAGCCTAAAAGTGTGTTGCAGTCATTATTCGGTATATGCTATATAATTTGTTTTGCACTTTTTCAAATTTCCAGGGGGGGGGGGACGATCCCCCCTAAAAAAATTGAGGGGGGACGTGTCCCCCCGTCCCCCCGGGATCGCCGCCCCTGGTTGTTGGTGTTGTTGTTGTATTCACTTTATATACGATATGACTCTCATCTAGCGCTTACGTCAATGGCCGCACAAGTCACTGACGCAATCGTACGTCAGGAAACTAACGCCTCGTGCGTAACCGGCATATGAATGAGCATACCTTGTGAGCAGTGTTGATGGAACCATTGAAGGAAGGACTCTCTACCAAGGAATAGTCAATTTCGACGACATCTCCTACCGGGGCAATCACTACCATATAGATAAAGAGTAAGAACAAAATTTATTATGATATTTGTTAACACCAAACTATCAATTACCTTTCAAAACTAATACATTTCTATCTAAACCTTTATGAATTTCATCAGTTCATTAAATCATTTTTTAAATAAATCTCATGTTTAGCTTGTTCTTCTCTATAATACATTTGTAAACATAATTATACATCAATGAGTTGTCCATCAGAGTATTAAACTTTCCCCTTCTAATTAACCCCCACTCCCCCTCATTACAATATTAGTTTCTGTCTGTTCCTTTTTGTAGTATTGTGGAAATATAATGTTATTGTGTTAAGAACTTTTTCTTCGCAATGCATTTTTCTTTCGTTTCTACATTACATCATGGTACCCTGTTTAATATTATTTTCAACCATCACTCATGCAAGTTATCTTCTAAACGTGTAAGTTTGTTTCTTGTTTATTTTTACCATTTTGATTCAACAATATTTGCGACGCATGGTTCTTCTTTTTAAAATACATGTAGTACCATTTTGAATGAATTAATAAAAAAAAATGCATCAAAGATGAGTAATGGTCTAGCTGGGAAGGACAGTTTGGAAGTGGTTGTCTGGACCTAGTAAAATCCTACCTTGCAAGTCCTTTAGTTCGTCTTCCAAACTGCCATTGACTTCATCGATAACTGTATCACAGATCTGAGTAAGCAACCAAATAATATCCGAGTTGGATAACCATTTAACACCGTTTTGTACGATATCCCAAATAACCGATGGTGTTACAAACCCCATCATAGTCTTAGCCTATCCCGAAATAGTCAACTTATTCGATTCGTAAAATTTGACCCCTCAAAAAAAATAGTGAGATAGTCTTTGAGGGTAAAATCTGTTGGATAAAATGGGGGTGACTATTTCGGGACAGGCTTCTGACCTACTAGCTGTTTTTATATTCACGAACTTGGCGGGAATGGTGAAAATAGAAGGTGCCATTCCCAGTATATCGCATGCTTGGTAAAATAAGGCAGAACTGAAAACTCTTCTGATAATTAAACAAAAATATTGCGGAGAACAGTTTTGGTATAGGTCGATCCTACCATTCTTTTAAAAGAATGTATATAGCGGCAACCACAAAACATTAAAAAGTAAATATTTATTGCTGTCAAGTCAAGTGTACATATTAACCGATGAATAGAAAACAGAGCGTGCTGCTGCAACCCAGTAGCTTCCAGTTACACACCATACGATTTAACCTGGCTTTAAATGCTTTAATGTCATATTGTGGATTCCTTCTTTTTTCTCGTTGATTTTTTATCTCTTACAATTCTACAATTTTTCTACCCCTCCATATTCTTTCCACTTCCTTTAATTTTATGGGCATCCCCAATCCACCTTTTCACTCTCTGGAGTTTAGATATAAAGATGTCTATACCTGGCCATTGAGAGAATCTTTGATGGCGTCTCCTATTTTGTCGTCAAACAGGTTGTATAGCCAGCTGTAATAATATGAATGTACAAAGTAAATGTTATTTGAAATTATAATATGCATTTATACAGTGCGTCCCAGAAAAAAACAAAACCGAGAATTGGCGATGTTTCATCATAACTTAGTCACATTTATAAGTAATATTTGACACATATTTGTAAAGCTTAGATCCTCCTCTTTCCTGTGATACTCATTATGATGCATATATCATGCATGAGTGATTAAACACAATTTGAAGAGAGGAAACCAAAAAGTCATTTGGTGGGCAGTATCTGAATTTCAAAGAGAAAATCACATTTCTAGATAGTTCATTTTCCGCCCTTTCGTATGACACCTCAATCAGGAAAAATGAGCCATGAATAACAAAGTTCTGTTAGATTCAAGTAATGCTTGCATTTCCATAATTTGATTTTAAAAACGAATTCGTTTTCACTGGCTGCCTACCGTAGCAACAAACAGAGTTGACAAAAGACTTAACTCCGTTTCGTTAATGATCAGCCATGCACAAAGAAGACGAAAGACTTGATGCAATTGTCAACTCTGTCTGTTGCAACGGCAGGCAGCCAGTGAAAACTAATTCTCGGTTTCGTTTTTTCTGAGACGTACTGTATTATCATTGTTGGCTCATCCTTCATACGCGTCTGATATACGGAGGAGAAAATATTCATATGATGGGAAGAGGTGATATGTATTGTAAGGGGGGGGGGGCAAAGAGAGTGGGAGCATTATGAGTTCATTTTGCTTCGCGAAGATTTTTGCATCAGCCAATCAATTAGACAAGCGCTCCCCCCCCCCCCGACTTAAGAAGAGATTCTCATATTTTTCTGAGGCGTATTATGTTTTTTTGGAGAGAGAGCATGTTTGAAATCGACCACCCCTTCCCCACCTCCCTCTATAACGCCCTCCCCCCACCTCCCTCCATAACGCCGTCCCTTCCCCACCTCCCTCCATAACGCCGCCCCTTCCACCACCTCCCTCCATAACGCCGCCCCTTCCCCCACCTCCCTCCATAACGCCGCCCCTTCCCCCACCTCCCTCCATAACGCCGCCCCTTCCCCCACCACCCTCCATAACGCCGCCCCTTCCCCCACCTCCCTCCATAACGCCGCCCATACCTTGCTCCACCGTGTAGATCAACATCAAGACCGCCGATGTTGAAGGAACAGTCCAAAGCCTTGGACGAGATGTTAGGTCGACCAGTGGCATCAACTCCTGCAATGGCAAGAAGTAAATAGTGGTGAATTTGAGCAAGAAGAGAGATAGAGAAAGAGAGTGGGAGGGCGGAAGGGATGGAGGGACGGGGGATGAGGGATCGATCGATCTATGAGGGAGGAAGGAAGAGGGCGGGAGAGAAAGAGGGGAAACAAAGAGAGAGGAGGAGGAGGAGAGAAAAGGAGAGTGTACGAAGAGAGAGAGAGAGAGAGAAGGAAGAGGAAGAGAAGGGAAAGGAGTTAGGGGGTAAGGAAAGTAGAGAGAAAGAGAGAGAGAGAGAGAGAGAGATGAAATGAAAAAGGATATGGTGACAGAAAATTTTGTCGAGGCAGGACCAGCTCTAGTTCTACCTCTTAAAATATTGTACAACTCTGCAGTAAATATACAATTTTATTGATAGAGAAAAATCACGGCCCTTTTATTTCAGACCGTTTGGACAATAATTAATCAAGCTACTTTTCCAAGTTGATTGAATTTGCATTTAAATCCAAAATGTTCCGTAATAAAGTACCTCAAAGTTTTCATTGTAATGCTCTCGCTCAGATCGCCGTCTCAAAATGAACGGCCTGATTTCCTTTGAAATCTGTGATTTTTTCACATAAAAGTAAGCTGTTTATGTTTTTAAAAAATGCTTTTAAAAGTTTTCATATTGGTAAGGACTCACCTATCCTCAGCGTCACAGCGAGGGAGATAGACGAGGCACTCGCGTCAAAGTTCCCAGAGTCAGATATTGGGATACTAAGATTTGGGAGAAGAGAAAAGGAACCAGATTGAAAAATTCACCCTTTGCTGTAAAGGTCCATAATAATGTATCGATATTAGTTTCTGTATCTTTACTATTCTTTCGATATAAGCTGTACTGATGATGAAAATAATAATACATTTTTTTTAATGTATTCATGATTATGATAATGCTGATGACAATAATGCTGATGAAAATAACGATGATGATAGTAATATTATTATTAATAATACTACTACTAATCATATTACTACTACTACTACTAATGATGATAATGAAAATGAAAGAAATAATGATAAAAATAATAACTGGCGTGCGTGCAGCTTAAGTAACCGGGGTGCGGACGTCGGGGAAAAAATGGATTCGAAACTCTCGACGTCCGCAACCCGGAGACTCCAGTCCAGACGGACAGCCAGACGGACTAGCAGATCATCCATATCCACTCCCCGATGACTCAAGCCCACACGGTCATGTATTTTTCCCCGACGTCCGCACCCCGGTAACTTAAGCTCACGCACGCCAGCTATTTTCCACTCCTGACGACGGATAGTCAACCTGCTTGAAACGTCGAGCCACTCCCGCAAACCATCCTCTCCAAGTGCTATAGTTCTCCTTAGATCTATAAGCTAAGAAAGATAAACAAAGTCTTTTTCAAGACTATACCAACAGTCCTTTTCAGGACTAACAAACCCTCAAGAAAGATTACCGAGAGTCCTTTTCAGACTCCTCAATCCTCCCTCTCTCTCACATGGTGCACCCGCAAGCCTACTGTATAAACCGTTCTTGTATAGCACATAATCACAGTGTGATACAACGCCCCTATGCGCTTCCAACGAAGTTTGGATAGTATTACCCTGGCTTTATAGCTCTGGCAGCATTTCAAGGAATAAATCGTGCCTGGTACCCATATAACACCCGGATGGAGAGTGGCAAATGTTGTTTAAATTTTGCCAAAAGACGCGAGTGCCAGGCTCGGATTCGAACCCTCAACCCTTGGTTTGAGAGTCATGTGAATGAACCACTATACCACAATTCATCCATGTATAGCTCTCACTTATCCATAAATGGATGGAAAATGTGAGAAGGCGGAATCATTAACAACTAAAAAGAACAAGGGGGGGGGGGTATACATTGTATGTAATGTATCACAAGTCCATAAATATTGAAATATATACCACACTCACAAGCCACCTATTTTGTAGTGCCAGTCCCCATGCACCTTGAGGTTTATCCCACTCGTCTTGAGAGTCAGGCCCCCAGCTGCCGGGTCGGGAGTCAGTGAAGCGGTCGGGATGGAGAACGTCGTTATGCGAATACTGAAAACAAAACAAGATCAAGAATTACGACCAGTTTTCATCCTTGATCATGGTTTGGCTTGGTTTGGTTTTATTTTTTATCATTAAGTATGAAATACCAAGGATAACTCCTTGGAAATACAAACATAATAACACATTATAAAAACAAAACATTTAAATATTTACATAGACTATAATTGTAGAGAGAAAAAAATGAAAATGTCGATCGAGGGATCTCCCGCTCATATGATGTTGGCAATTTTGAAAATTTGAAGACTCCTGGGATATCTTTTGGATAAATTGTCTGAATTTTGTCAGACGATGCCCCCCCCCCCCAGTAAAATGTGACCTATTGCTGATGTGCATGTATAGGTCCCCCCCCCCACACACACACACACACACTCACTCCTCCCCCTCCTTCTCTCCCGCTCATCCAACGTATGCCCATACAGCACACACTACACGATCCACATGCGTTCTGATTTTCGAAGAAGTTCTATTACATTAGATAAAACATGATCGCAAGCAACTACTTTGGAATTATCATCTAAAGGCAATTTCAATAGCCTTGTGAGTCACCTATCGAAATATGCGAACAATATTGCAATGATGTATTACGTAGTCCAAACACGATTTCTATGGGACATACAATAGGGTATTGAAATTGCCGTTGAGTTGATTTTTTTTTCGAAATGGACGCGCTCGTGTTATATGGAAATCAAACCAACAAACATAATATTCCCGTTTTAGTTTCTGAATGACAATAAGAGTATCAACAGCCAGAATATTATTGAATTTAAGCTTTCTAGTCAGAATAAAAGTCGAATCGGCTTCAAATCGTAGATAATCGCACGAATGGTCTGACGTCACAACGGTTCTGAGCCGATTTACCTTTTCCTTCTCCAGAGAAATTTAGGTCTCATGTTCTTCTGAAATCGAATCGTAGTCAAATCGTAGCCAGATCGTAGAGTCCGCGGCGTCCTTGCTACATTCAAGTTATATTGCTCATTGAAAGGAATAGCGATGTTGTAGGCCTATGAATATTGCACTTTCGTAATGTAACCTAATTGAATGCATACGCTCTTGTAAAGTGCCTCGTTTTTTTAAATTCAATTTCACCTGTATTTTAAAGTATTTAAATAGTCAGAATGCAAAGTGCATACTTTTTACGTGTTGTAAGATAATGCAAGCCATGTTTATCTGACCTAAGACCAACTATTATGTGCTTTGCATCCTTTAAGATTTAGACCCATAGTGGTAAAATTGCGGTTCAATAGTTTTGGGTGCAAAATATCCATTCAATATTGTTAAAATATTGCCCCCAGAGGTTTAGATGGCAATACTTTAACCTAAATTCTCAAAAAAGCAGAAATATATGCCCAAATGTTCAATGTTGAAGTGCATTCGCGATATCTATCAATGCCGGGTCACCAAATTTATCAATTAGTAGGCGGTTTCCCGCCGGCATAATCTGTATAATTACGTATTAGTCAAAACATATTCTTTCACATGATTGGTAATAAGAGCTTCCATTCCATTTGTTGAGAGGCGGGCGTTTCCAAAACTGGTCAATATCTTTAATATTGAGATACACTCATTCAAAGCAGGTGCATGAGTTAATTCGTATTGAGGCACTTCACAAAGACGTATGCATGCATTCAATTTGATTAAATTACCAAAATGGCTTATTCTCATTCATCATGGGCCTACTGATGCATAGGATACCAAAGAGCATTGGTACCAAAACCTAAACGTGGTAAATGCAAACTACGAAAACAAGGTAAAAATGGTTGATTTGCTTACTTCGTGACGTCATATTTGACGTCACCGATACCAATGTCAGCACTGCCGTGGATGTCAGGAATAGTGAGCTGCTGAATCTGTTTTTGTAGCATCTGAATCCCGACATCTCTCACTGTAATGAATGAAAGGTTAAAGGTCACCTTTATTATAGTAACAGGGGCGGCGTTACGGGAGGGGTGGGGGAGCTGCGATTTCCCCCTCCCGCTAGAAAAGATTCTCAAAACTTGACCGTAGGTAGGATCGATTGACACAAATGCTGCAGTTAGAGAAGTAAAATCTAGTGAAATGTAAATACAACTTGCAAGAAAAGCACCCCAATAAACAAACAAAAGGATGCCGTATACTTAAAAGACACATAGAATTATCAAGCAACAGTAATAATCAATATGCATGCGACTGAATACAAGACAGTATATACATGTTTATACCTTTTTTATGGGGTAAAAAATGTTTTAAAAATAATGAAATCTATTGAAAGATTTTTTGATATCAGTTTTATGATATCTTTTCCCCTGTTATATATTTGGAAGAATTCCAATAAGCCAATTCGTAGTTAGTATTTGCGGATAGGGAAATAACGATCATATTTCGTATACCGAAGTTGCAATACCCACTGAGACGAAAACATGATCATTAAAGTTATGTACTCAATATCCATTAATGCACCGACGGTACATACACAGATATGCGTATTCTTTCCAAGAGATCAAACAAAATTTATTCATAAAGCACCTAGAATGCACACAGTGGGTCGAACTGTGGATATCTTAGGCTCATTTTGTACATAATGTGCCGTATCCTAAGCGATGTTTATAGACAGAGAGTTGGAATCCAACTCCCTGATACAGACACTCTTCAAACAAAAAGCATTCTATTCGACACACATGCTGCTATTGTATTCTATATGTGTATTGATGTAATCTATGGAATATCAGTTTTATGATATCTATTGTTGCTGTTTTTATGTCTGAAAGGATCCCCACAAACTATTCAAACATTCTATTCATAAGGGATATGCCCCCGAGGAAGTCAAACAAAAGAAAATAAGAGAGGGGATTCCCACACAGAAAAACCCGCACGTATTGCGCAAAACAATAAATCCTGCAGACGTTTGACTCATGCAACATTGGGCCTATTGTCAAACTCTGAACATTTGTCCCAAATTACGTAAGAGAGATGATTGGTACTACAAAATCGAATAATAACAACGAGTACAGACATACTAAAGCATTTCGTCTTGCACCCATTGGAGTTTAGTCAATCACAGGCAGGAACAGAAAGCCAAAATCAGAAAATGTAGAGTAATCATGTTGTTTGAAGCAATTGCACAATAAATCTGTTTTGCATTGAATATATATCTCGGATTAAGTTTAGACCCGTAGCCTGCATTATTTTGAAACACCGAGACATGAATGCAGGCCTCCCAGGTCCCCCCCCCCCCCCCCCTCTCACATGGTGCAAGAAAAAACTAAAAACGTACCTCTTCAATAAGTAAATTGTAATTCTAATATTTTTGTTTGTTATTATAATTACTCTTTTATACATGTACTATCTTGTGTTTACTATGTCATTATTTCTGTAAAGCGCTTCGAGCAATTCGTTGGATGTTGCGCTATATAAAAGACAATTGTATGTATGTATGTATGTATAAGAAATAGAAATATGCATTCATTTTCCTCTTTTTTTTTGTTATTAGAAGGAAAATGAAGATATAGTAAATTTAATCAATGCATATCACTTCTAAGTTCTAATTTCATTGAGAAGTGCAATTCTAATGAACAGGGGCGTATTCAGCGGGAGGGTGGGGGCGCACGTCACCCCTCCCCTTTCTCCCAAAAAAATATTCACATAAATGATCAGTTTACTCACTGTTCAGATATGCCTCAGAATGTACATAAAACATCTTAAGGTTCAGAATTTTCCGAGCCCTATTGAAGTGAGTACCGGACCTTACGCCGTATAGGCTTTGCGCCTCGCGCTTGCAATTTCGTACTTTTCACCCCCCCCCCCACCCCTTGAAAAGACCTGGATCCGCCCTTAATAAAGGTTGTTTTTGGATCAGCTTAGAAGCAGGCACGTATTGATAAGTCTAGACAAAGATATAAATCCAACTAGTTAATCCTATTGGTCCATGTAGGCTCTTTTCTGGTTTCATAATTATATAACCTGTGATGTTTGTTCTTTGAATCGTAAATACAAAGGGTTCCAAAGTTCAAACCACATGCATGAGAGAATGGAGAGAAAATGTAGGATTCAGTTCCTGTTACTGTTTTCTCCTTCCCTCTTTCTTATAAACATGCATAAAAAACATGTTCTACATGCACATTGCATCCTGTTCTGTCTATCTGTCTGTCTGTCTCTGTCCCCTTCTCTTTCTTTCTCTCGCTCTTTTCCTTCTTAATTCCTCTATCACGCAATAAATCAAGCAAACAATACATTTTTTTCAATAAATAAAATAATTATAATCGGTGAATCAAATACGAAACGTGTCAATCAACTATTTGAAAAAAGTCGCTTGATTATAGACTAGTAAAATATTGGGGGGGGGGGGATTATATCAAAATGTTGAGAAATATTTTAGGTAAAAACTCACAAAAGTCGAGGCCTTTCTGCGAAATTCTAGCTTTGAACCCCGGCTCCTTGTTCCACCCGTTCAGCTTCCACTTGTAAGGCCCGACCTTGCGGTACACATTCCGATTAGCAGACGACCCCAAAACGCAGCACACGACGAGAAATCCCGCCAAAATGGGAGACATTGAACTTCCACTGAACATGTTGGATCCGACTCCGCTCCGAACCATGAATAGAATACCAAATGGTTACAGACGTGAGTTAACTTCGTGACTTATGCAAAAATAGCTTTTGAGGAAGTAGTGGCAAGAAAAAGAGAATATTGATAGTTTCATGTGTCTTGTGTCTTTCAGGCTGAAAATCGTATCACGCGAGTTTGTTTACATTTACATCCGTAAGTTCCACTTCCTTGATTTCTTTCTTCTTTTCAATAATTTTTTTTTTCTCTCTCTCTCTCTCTCTCTCCCTCTCCCTCTCTGTCTATTTCTCTCATTTGTGCTCCCACTCTCATTCTCACTCCCATTCTCTCTCTCTCTCTTTTTCTCTCTCTCTCTCTCTCTCTCTCTCTCTTTACCCCTCTCTTCCTGCGTCGGGATATGAACTGAATCACACAAAATACGATAATTTTGATATAGAAGAGAGAGAGAGAGGGGGAGAGAGAGAGAGAGAGATAGGGAGAGAAAGAGAGAAAGGGAGAGAGGGGTGATTTCAGCTGAATAATGTGATTTTTAATGATCATCAAACATCAAAGAAATCAAGACCTTTTTTCAAGAGGGGGAGGCCCGGGGGAGGGGGCGTGTACTACTAATTACTAGACTAATATTGTTCAATTCTTATATAGCGCATATTACATCATTATATCTATACACTTAGATAAGAGAGAGAGAAAGGGGGGGCAGGAGAGGGAGAGAGAGAGAGAGAGAGAGAGAGAGAGAGAGAGAGAGAGAGAGAGAGAGAGAAAAAAAAAGGAAAGACATGGAAAATATTGAGCTTTCACCGTTTATCACTTACAATTATCAATTCAATTACAAAAATTACATGTTTACTTTATGAATCAAGACTGGCATGATCGAAACAGATATATTTTTGATAGACAGGGAGTTTAATATTATTAGCTCTATCGAAACTCGATAAGAAATGTATTTGTTTTCCAACGAAACTTGAAGGGTAAACACCATTGATTACAAATTATTGATTAATCTTGTGACTTCCCTTTTGAAACCTAGTGTGATGGAGAAACAATCGACCAGACGAGATATTCATCATTCAAATATAAACATAAATTATCCTCCTTTTTATATTCTTTGGTCACTGACTTTATGTCTCTTCAAAGCTACTCGAGGTATTACTATTGTTAATCAAAAGTGAAACAGATTTTGTACTAAAATGTAATCTTGAATGTGTTTAAGTTTGGTCAGTTTTTATGTAACCGCATTGGTTTCAGGTCGCTGTTAAGGTGTCACGTATCATGTAAGCGCCTAATTTCTATAAAATAAAACAATCATAAAACAGCTCACCCCGCCCCCCCCCCTCTCTCTCTCTCTTTTCTCTCTCTTCTCTTCTCTCTCTCTCTCTCTTTCTCTCTCTCTCTCTCCCTGAGGAGGCGCGATATCTCAGTCGGTAGAGCAGTGGTCTCGTAATCCGGTGACCCGGGTTCGAAACCAAGTCGATGCGCTAGTGGTATTTGGTAAGGCATTAATCCTCATTACCAGATCCCTCGGAGAGGACCTAAAGCCGTCGACCGTCTGGTTGCTTACTTACAATCTTAGCAGTCAGGTAAAAAAAATAACCACCATCTCTCTCTCTCCTTTCCTTCTCTGTTACCGCATATTGCTTTCACTTTTTAAATGTAAGAATAAAAACAAACAGTAACAAGCGCTGATTAAATATAGGTAATTATAATATGTACAATATTTACAGCATAATAAATTCTTTATGTTTTCAATTTTTGTTTCTATCAAAATGCGTATTCAAATGCACTTGTGGAGTGCATCACAAAATATTATGTACATGTCTAAGAAGCATATATTTCGGTATTTTTCAATAAATAATATTTTCTTCTTTCAAGTTTTCGTAGAGATATTATGTTGATACTGAAAAATACACGGAAGTATATGAGAGTGGATTCTATATAATCCAACCTTTGCTCATATGGCATTGGCCCAAATTCTGTAGCATTTTTGTTCATGGGTGATTATACTTGTTCCACCTTGATATCAAATAACAATCATACACTTGTCGATTCAATTCGTAGTTCAGATTTGACATTTTAGGATTGAAATGTTACCATTATCCAGATTATGTAATATTAATGTGAAACGCATTGGAATTTGCTTTGGTCATGAAATGCGCTCTACAAGATCGAATAACTCTGTGTCTATTGCCCAGAAACCTTAGTTATATAATGGTGCAATACATTACACAGTGACTACTTTCTAAAGCAGATTGTTCATGGAAAATCAGCAGTAGTATATACGTTAACAATTACAGTTGTATCGGTTTGCCCCGATTTAAATCACCCCACTGTTGTTCTTTCTACTGATCTGTCAATCCTCGGCCTGCAGCTTTTCTTCGGCCTGCGCCATTGTCAACTCATCCTCCTCCACCTTCATCTCCTCCTTTCCCTCCAACATCTTCTCTGCTCCGAAACAGTCTTCATTGATGTTATCAAACTTTCCATCTTAATCGTCTTATCCACTAGTCCTTCTCCTCCTTTTGCAGTTCTATAAGTTCTACATTCAAGTTAAATATGCTACAGTATTTGCTATATATGGTTTTGCCCTTCCCCCATTCCCCTTCCGATGAATTAAACTAACAAGAGGATGACTCGGGGTCATCTTCACCTCCTTCTACCAGCTGCATATTGTAAAGCTGGTCGATGATTTCTTGCACAGTTGGCCTCTGGCCTTCATCAGTCAGGTAGATTTGCGTACCAAAACACTCGAAATCATCATACCTCATGGCGTGACCAACGATCGCTAGAAATCTACCTAAGGAGTAGACATCGCTGGATGTTGAGCAGGGACTGGCGTCCAACACGCATTCAGGAGCAATATGGCCACACCCTTGGCCGCTACGGTAAAAATCAATTTGCTCTTCATCCAGAGGCATTACAAAAGGAGCGGCGATTTCAGAAGCCCATCCCAGATCGATGATCTTGGCTCGCCAGCGTCCAGACTCCTCGACAACCAGTACGTTGTCTTCTTTGAGATCATTACACAGGAATCCATTGGAATGGAGCGCTTTCAGTCCTTCTGCAACATCATTGAGGACATCAAACCACTCATCTCTGGTGAGATCCGGTCCTGTCTTTAACATGGACTTCTCGAGACAGTCGGTGATGGTGTAGCTACGATCCTCAGACTCACTCCCAATGAACTCCATGGCCAAAACTGCCTGGTCACCTTCGATGTCAAAACTTCCATAGAAAGTAGGAAACCATGGAAGGCCACTGATTGCTTGATGAATCCTGACCTCGTTCCTGAAGCACTCTCCTGGGTATTCCACGAGCTTGGCAGCGACGGGGATCTTCGAGACTGCGTGACGGAAGAGGAAGACAGTTCCTGCGACACCTCTTCCAAGTTCAATGCTGCACCTCGTCTCGGCCCAAGGGGTGAGGTCGGACATCTTGGAGACCATCATGCTGCTGTTACATGGTGGCTCCAAACAGCTGATCGTACTGGCGATTGCAGAAACACCTCGGAGCAGAGATGTCCTACTTGGTGGTCTGAAGGCATCCCCTGCCCTAAGTGTCTTCAGGCTTCTGCAGCGAGGACCAAGATGGATGAGATCGCGAGATGCAGATAAAGTGAAGCTATGGCTTCGGTAGGAGATGCTCAGAGAAAGGTGTTCTTTGATCTGCTGTAGCTCCTGCTCGGCCTTACCGAAGATCAAGGGATCTCTGTTTGAAATGAAAATTTAGAAGAAAATAACAGTATAATAATCACTCCTTTTATCTCAATCAAGAGTACTCTAACTGAATCACAATTTTGACCGAAAAAGGGCAGACACCACATGCAAATATGGACAGCCTGCAAAGTTTTTGTTTTAACCATTTCTCTCTTTTTGGCAAAATGGAGTCTACATTTTTATTTGACAAAGAGACCAGAAAAATTAAAATCATAAGCTTATTCACCTTTTAAATGATGAAATTACGACTTTGTACATTCGATGATATAAAACATATTCCCCTACCGATCTGTTTGGACTGACTTGTGACAAAGTTGGCCTTCCGATTGGGCTTGGTGGCCATCGGTCTGAGTGGCTACTGAGGCAAGCACTGGACCAGGACGGGATAGATGATCCTGTAAAAAATAAGGGTGGTGTGGAAAAACAACAAGACTGAATAGGGGCGTTTATTTTATTATTGACAATCAAAGGTTATTCCCCTTCCTCTCTACTCTACAAGACAAAAAGAAGGGTACGGAGACAAGAAAACAGAGAGAAAGAGAGAGAGACAGAGAGATTTTTTTTAAAAGATAGAGGGAGGGGGAGATGCTGACTTTACTTTTTGTATCAATATACTGTTTGCCATTCGTTATACTTCATTAGTAACTCAATATAAACCAAAGTTAATATTTTTCTAAGTCGCTCTTTTTCTTTTTCTTTGTTTCTTTTCTTTTTCTTATTATTTTGGCTGTATCTTTTCGTTTGCTTCTCGATTTTTAGCATCAAAATTACCATGAGAGCTTCTTGAGCCTGCTTGGTCTTCTCTCTCTCTTCCATCAAGGCTCTTTGAAGTTCATTGACCTCTCTTCTGTTCTCCGTCCATCTGTCCCTCATACCGCCAACAATGGTAGACCCACAACCAGATGTTTCTACACCCATGAAACTTGCCACGCCCTATACCAAAAAAAAAATCACATAAATGAGTAGATGAATAATTAATGAAAATATGAATGAATAAAATTGTTCACCTTATAATAATAATAATTACAGTGCTTATATAGCGCCTAACACTTACTTTGTCAGAAGTCTCTAAGCGCTCTACAATAATGCAGCATAATTACCCTGGCTTTAGCAGTGCAGCTGTTACGCGCGCTGCGTTTCAAGGAATAAATTCCTACCAGGTGTATAATTGCATAAAGGAGAGTATATTATCTTTAAAAAGGTTTTATAAACATTATCATTCACTCTCAAGGGTGATCGAATTGCATATAATTTGCATATTGTTACGTTTCATTATTAGATATTATCAAAAATGATATTATTGATCTCTTTAGAAAACTTTGTACCTGTAAGGTTTCATGAGCTTTGCTGTTCTGATCTTTCTCAACAAGTAGCGAGGATCTGAGTTGAGAGGTGAGAGATTTCATCTCCTCCAATTT